CTTGAAAGAAAGACCAGCAGGAAAAATTAAAAACAGTAACAGCAGTCCAATTGACTACTACAAAACCAAGCAAGTTGTTTGCCCAGGAGCCATCAAGGCAAGTGGTTGGGTCCACTCAGGGCAAACCCCCTTCCAAGACTAAGACTCAAGGAGAATGAGCAGGCATGTGGTCTGGCTGATGTTGGTCACTGATAAGGGGAAGTGGGGGAAAAACAGCAATGAAATTGTGAGCTAAGTCCAACCACATTCAATAGACTACTGTGAACCTGGGTTGAGACCTGGTTGGCTAGAAGTATGGCAAGACCTGGGGACTCCTGGGCCCAGAAACAGTGACATGGCCACAGAGAACTAGAGCGGAGAGTGAAGCAACCAGCTGATATGAAGTGAGGGGATATGCACAAGAACACTCATACTTACAGATAGTACCCACTTGACCTGGCTTCATTGGGTGGTTGATCAGAACTCAACTAGAAGAAGAAAGAAGGGGGTGGGGAGGGAAGAGAAGAGTAATCTGCTACAATTTAATGAACTTGACCTATATGTGTGGATGTAGTAGCTCAAAAGAGGGAATAAATCTTTATAGTGAAGATAATTCCCACCCCCTTGGTATGGAGGGTTGACAGAGATGGGCAGCTTAGACATTGGCTACCCAAAAGACGGGGGTCTACAAAGGCAAGAAATGACAGGCTTATAAGCTTTCAAGAGGGAGCCTAGTTCCAGAGGGTGCAGGAAAAGGTAGTATCTCCACTATGTGGTTTCCAATCTGCCTGGATGGGCTGATGAAAGCGATGCGGATAAGACTGTTGTGGTCCAATAGTGAATAATTGCTATCAGGACTGACTGTGAGGGTTGAAAATGTAAAGGTAGACATTTTGTAACAAAAGGAAGGGAGTAGCTGACTTTGCAGTCTAGGAGAGAAGGTCCTTGGGACCACCAAGGAAGAGGAGCGGAATATGGGACCCTACCTATAAAAGCAGTGATGTCAGAGATGGAGGCAGAGACGATAATGTGGCGAGAAGGCGTGACTGGGGATTCTGGACTCTGGACTCAGGGAAGGAGAGGGGTTGTGTACTGGCGGCCGGGAGGCAGGCTTGCAGAGTGTACCTTTTGGTTGTTTGATGATGCATGGAGGGGATTGTAATCATTGCAATGAAACAAAAAACAATAGGATAAATGTAAAGCTAATGTTCTGCCATATAAACTATCACATAATTCACAATAAAAACTTTAAAAAAATAAAAGGTTTTCAAGGTTGCTCTGAGTCAAAGCCCAGTCAACTGCACACTACCCCCACCACTACCTACTAACATAATTGTTGTTATTGTTGTTAGGTGCCGTGAAGTCAGTTCCAACTCATAGCAACCCTGTATAGGGTTTCCTGTATAGGGTTTCCAAGGAGCAGCTGATGGGTTTGATGGTAAGCCAGACAGTGCTTACCCTACTGCACCACACCAGGTGTCCACTAACATAATAAACACAGAGCAATAAATATTAAATTAGAAAGCATTGGTGTTAGTGTGAACACATTCCTCTGACATCACGTCTCACCTATCCATGAAACTCCTGCGCAAGAAGATACAGAAGTGGAACCTGAAATTGAGGCAGCAAAACCTAAAGCTACAGGGGTCATTGGGTGTGTGTCAATCAGAAACCCAAAATGCCTGAAGAAACAGTTGTTGTTAAGTGCCATCGAGTTGATTCCAACCCATAGCGACCCTGTATAGGGTTTCCGAGGAGCAGCTGGTGAGCTTGCACCGCTGACCTTGCAGTTCAAATGGCTTTGCAATCTGGTGCATTAACCCACAGCAGCACACCAGGACTCCAAAGAAACAGTAGGAGGTGAAAGGAACACAGCCTTTCTCTTCCCATGAGTCTAGAGTCCTCAGCTGCTCTATCTCTCCAAGCCATCACCTCTGCCTCCATCTCTGGTGTCGCTGAGAAGACACTGTTTTGATTGGCTTTTTGTTTTTCAAAGGTACCTTAATGGAACTAAGCCAAGTATATTCCTTAGAAAACTTGTCTGTAGCCATGCGCTGACCTCAGAGACATGTTTAGACATATTTCATTTGAAACAAAAACATGCATGTAACAATACTTTTTGATTTAATCTCATATAACAAAATTTTTAGCAAATCAAACTAATTGATGAAAGCTTCAAGCTAATGTCTCATATAAAAATACAAAAGATTCCACTGTCCACAGATAGAATTTACAGATTTCAGTCAGACAACTACATTTGATGCTGAGCACCCTCCAACGCACTGTGGGAAGTTAGAAAAAGGAAGAGAGGGACTTGCTGTCTTAAGGGGTTTACATTTTAAGAATCCAAAATTAAAACTGGTGGAACCTAAACATAGGATCAAAACAAACAATACTAATCGTAGCTAAACTAAGAGACCAACTCCATTAGGTGACACATTTGGGGGGTGGTCACTACGATTCTGGTGTCTCCACCATTTCTTTTTACATTAAGAATATTTGAAAGTTGTTCTACTGAATTAACTAAACCACTGTCAGCTCATAAAGATGCCGACACCCCTCTCCCATTTCTGAAACTCCTGATGAAAAGTAAAAAGCAGGTTGACTAGAGCAGAACAAGGAGCTTTGATGTGCTCACAAGAATCAGGACAAGTTGGTAGATTTTGTGACTTAGTTCAAGCCTCTCTAAGGCCAATCTTACTGTATAAATTTATGAGGTCAGCTTCCATCACTTCCTACACACACAGAGATACATAAACCACTACACTTCACACAAGATAGATTGGCAATTGAATATAGATCACTTGATAAGGTGTTGCTTCACTAAAAGTGCAAGTAGAGTGTGGGGTCATCTAAAATACATCTCTACTTGTCTGGAGCAAAAGAGAAAAAAGAAAAGCAAAGATTCAAAGAAAAAACTGGTCTATAGGGACAAATAATCTACAGAATGGATAGTCTATGGTCTCATCCATCATAAGACTAGAAGAACTAGAAGATGCATGGTTACCTCTACCAGCCATGCTAATCAAGGCCACAATAGATCATTTGTGACAGAATGGAGAGAAATGTGGACCACTAACCTCCTCAAATTCCTAAACAAACAAACAACCAAATCTATTGGACTGATTGAAACTAGAGCACTCCCTGAGACTACTGCCCAAAGACACTCTTTAAATCTTGAACTGAAATTAATTCCTGAGGTCAACTGGTAGCTAAATGATAAACTGGTTCAAAAGTAATGAGTATCACTCACAAGTAGTATGCTCCTTCTAAAAATCACCTGTAGGAGATAAAACAATCAAAAGTTACTTTAAAAAACAAATATGAGAATATAAGGGGACAGAAAAACTAGATTAATGGAAATGGTACAATCAGATGGAAATAATTAGAATGCTCACACTGTGTGAAGCATACAACCAGTATCACTGAACAACTTGTGCAGAAATCGTTGTATGGAAACTGTCGTGTAAACTTTCACTCAAAACACAATAATATGTTAATTAAAACAACAACAACAAAAAGTAAGAAAACAATATCAATAGACTTTTTTTTTAATGTTTTATTGTGAGTTATGTGATAGTTTACATGGAGAACATTAGTTTTACATTCATTCTATCATATATCATATCATTGCCATGGTTACAATCCCCTCCATGCATCATCAACCAACCAAAGGGTATACCCTGCAAGCCTGCCCCCACCCCCACCCCGGTCCGGGTCATCAGCACACAGTCCCTCTCCCTCCCTGTGTCTAAAGTCCCCAGCTGCTCCATCACTCCACATCATCGTCTCTGCCTCCATCTCAGTTATCA